AAATGAGCAAAGAAGAAAGCTCTGATCAAATGTGTGACAAAGGAGAGAACCTGAAAAAGAGGAGAATACAGTGGAAGAAAATATCCATAAAAAAAGAAGTCACTTTCCAGAACCAAAGTGACTTCAATGAACATGTGTATGAGAAGCCAGACACAATAAATAAGACCCACACCAAGGCACAATTTCAAAATACCAAAGGAAGAGCAGTTCTCAATATGTTATAAGCCAGTATATTAAAATGTGTACAAACATTTTAAAATCACATTCAAGGACCAAATGATGCTGGCAAACACACCAACAGAGCTAGAACTAGAGTAAAATAATGTCTTTAACATTCTGGAGGAAAGTGTTTTTCATACATAAATACTATACCCAGCCAAACTACTAATTAAATGTGAGGCTAGAATAAAGACATTTTCAAGTTGGCAAAATCTCAAAAAAGTAACCTTTTTCTAGAAGATTCCATAGTTTTTTGCTGCCAATTATTTCCTTACTTTGGCCTTTACTTACATGACTTACTAAGTTTTGGAGGCATTTCCCTCTTCTCTATCCCCCATATTCTATTTCATAAGCTAAACTCCATCTCACCATCCTGTAAAGTCTAGTTTTAAGCCACCTCATCCAAGAAGGATTTTCTGTTCCTGCCAGCAGGGTGCAATCTTTTCCTCTCAGGCTCACAGACTCTATTCCAGGGAGGGACTTGTGTTTTACCTCTAATCAGCACTCTTTAAAGCCAAACTATGCCCCTTAAGCCACCAGTAGCAGTTTTCTGCAGGCAAAAGACCCCCTGTTTCTTCTTCGTGGCTCTGTCCTTTCAGTCCCCCTACTCAGCAACTGTGACTAATACAAATTCTTTAATATGGCAGCCACTCACTGATAAGAGAACAATGGACTATTTCATGTTAATCCATTGTACAAAGGCTATAGCACTGAACAGTTCATCTCTGTGCCAATCCCATCCACATCTAGACTTCCCATCTCAAAGTCCCTGCATTTAGGCAGAAAGGATCATTTTGGGGAAAGAGAAAAGAGATCAACCTTCTAGTTAAGAAAAGATGATCTTGTGATCCAGCAACTTCACTCCTAGATACACACATAGAAGAAATGAAAACATATGCTCATGCAAAAACTCTATACAAATGTCATAACAGCTTTATTCACAATAACTAAAAGGTGGAAACAAACTCAGCTCTCCACCAAATCATGAATGAATAAATGAAATATGATGCCCCCATACAATGGGATATTGTTTGACAATAAAAAGGAATGAAGTGCTGATACATGCTAGAGCATGGATGAAGACTGAAAACATTACATAGGTGCAAGTAGCCAGTCACACCAGACCACCTACTGAATGCTTCCGTTTATATGGACCATCCAGAATAGACAAATCTGTGGAAATAGAGTGGAGTAGTGGTTGGTTGCCTAGGGCTAAGAGGGTTGGAAGAAATGGGGAATAACTGCTAATTTAGAATATGAAAATTCACTGGATGGAGGGATGGGTAATAAAAATGTTCTAAAATTATTATAGTAATGGTTGCATAACCCTGTGAATAAAAACAAAACAAAACAAAATAAAAAAACAACCCCTGAATTGTGTACTTGGAATGAGTGAATTATATCTCAGGGTATTTTTTTTTAATGATCAATGTAGGAATAAATTAAATTCACATATTACTTGTCTTTAAGGCATAATCAAAGAGCACCAGCTTAAATAAGGCAAAACATGCAAAATATGCCAAAACTGGATCAAAATGTGCATTTGCAATCAGAAAACACCCAGTTAAAGTCATGTTTGTTGATATTTATTTGTCCCCACTTTAATATAGAATCTGTTCACTGCAAAGTTTACTAGTTTAAGAGAAGATATATTGTAACAAAGTATAGTGAAAAGATCTGGGTTTTACTGGAAGCACAGTGTGCCTGGTTATATAAACTTTTGTAGGTCACTTAATTCCAGAAGGCAGTGTCTCTAGTTTCACTACTTGCTAATCACCTTATTTCACAGGCGTATTCTTAAGGCAATTAATGGATAATGTAGTTCACATTTATAGTGGGGCAGGACCTTTAAGCGGCACTGAGGTTTATTGCAGGCATTTACACAGACCTATTGAGCATGATCGGCAGGATGAACTAAAGCACCCACTTATGAAATCTTCCTGCTTGAGAGATGCTATGATTACAAAATAAATCTATAAAACTTTGATTCTTTCCAAATGGATGTGCAGTATTTTAAACTATCTAAAATTAAATGGTGAATTCATATATTTTTCAACTTTAAAGCTGCCTTTTGAAATAGGTCTTAAAAAAGGTATAATGATATAAAGGCATGGTGGAGGGGAACAGATAAAAACAATCTAATGGATGAGCCAACTATAATACAATCCCTCTTTGCATTTCATCTTAAAGGATATTGAAACTAATAAATCAGATTTACCAAACCATGATTTTAACATAAAGTAAAACCCTAGTCCTATGTTCTTTCAGAACATATTAAAATTCACACTTACCCAGTTGAGTGCATCAAAGTTTTAAGATATTGACCTAATTTTAAGAAAGGGAAATACTAGATGCAAATAAACTACATTCACTAAACATACTAGGTAGCCCTTCAATTATTTTTGTTTTTGTTTTAAATTCTCTTTATTTTCTCCAATCTTCTACATTATTTGTAACTATAAACTTTTTCTGTCTGTATGATGAGCAACATGAACCTGGTTTGATTTAGGACCAATACTATTATTTTGATCCACGCTGGTTTGAAAGGTATTAGAAATTCTATGAAGCTGTGCCACTTAACTCAGGACTTGTAGCAGTCACAGACAAAACTGTGCCAATTAGAGAACTGAAGACTTTGAAAACCAAACCTAGAAGACTTTGGATTACATAATGATGTGGTATAAACTGGAGAAACTTTAATTTTAGTGTGTGAAAAATCACACGAATAAATTAGTGCAAATAAAACACTGTTTCTGGAAAACAAACTTATTTTTTTTTATTTTGGCTTTTCTCTTTGCACTTCGATACAAAATGTAGAATGTAGAATTCAGCTTCTAAATTGCAACACTTACTAGCTACACTGCAAACTTTTGGCAATTAGTTTCACTGGAGTACATATATTATTTAATTTTCTTCCCTGTTTCCTTTCATCTACATAATTTTTATTCTAATAAAATTTAACAAGAGGTCTACTCTTTTAACAAATGTATAAGTGTACAGTACAGTACCGTTAACTATATTCAACTATGTATTGAATATAGTTGCTATTCAATACACATACAGTTAGGCATGGCGTGGCACAGCAGTTCCTATAACTTAATCACCATGCCTAACTGTATGTGTATTGAATAGCAACTCAACATTTCCTCCTCCAGGCCCTGGCAACTCTACTCTCCGCCATGAGTGTGACTACTTTAGAACCTCAGAGGAGCAAGATCACACAGTGTTTTTCCTGCGGCTGGCTTAGTTCACCGAGCATAAATGTCCTCCAGTTTCATCCACACTGTCACATCATAGTGTTTTAAATGATTCACTCTGGTAGAGCAGATGACCTGATAGCAACTGGGCCACACCTGGCTTCATCAGCTGCCTGCTCCTCGGGGTGGTCTTGCAGCCAGGACTGTATCCCACCTGGAGATGACTTCCCTGCCCCTGAGGTGAGAATGCTACTTTGATGTATGGCAACCCTGCTTCTTAGGAGTCATGGCCTCCTGGCAGTTCCTCTGTAAACTGCGATGGCAGCTGTGCTAGAGGTCATGAATATTACATAAGGGCTGTCCATGCTTTCAAACCAGAATCTCCAAGCCACGATTCCCATAGCAACACACCGAGATTTTACTCATCTCAGAGATGCAGCAGCCAGCATAAGTATTTTAATGTTACCCTTTGTTTTTCAGCAAGATCAACCCAGTACTTCTTTTTCAAAGCAATAATTCTTTAAAAAAACAAACAAAAAGCAACAACAACAAGATATATGTACTACTACTATATGTAATACTTGAAATAATAAAAAAATATACTTTATAGCAAAAAAAGAAAAGAAAACCAAAAACTGTGTTCAAATATGTTCATTTAAAAGTTATGGAGTATCACACACACCAAGATACTTTAAAACGGAACAATAACCTAGGGGTGGGGAATGTCTGACCCGAGGGCCATATAAGGCCCGAGAAATCATTTGTTCTGGCCAAGGCATTAGGAGTGAGTTCATTAAATGTTTGACCAAATATAGAAGGCTAATTTTTAGGCTGATAATTTTGTATAATTCAAAAATGATGTTATGAATATCCAAATAGCCCTTGGCCGAAAAACGGTTCCCTACCCCCTGCTTTAGAAATGACTATATGGGAAAAAGAATTCAATACATGACAATTAGTAAAATCTAATAGAGTCTCAGCTAAATTCTGTACTTGCATATTTCATATCTGATTTCCAGTTCCCCTTCCACATACATATGCACTTTATTATTATAGGATAGAAGAAACATTTTCAAATAATAAAATCCTTTGTTGCTTTATTTTTGAAAAATGCAATGTGAGCCATTTTTTTTAAATATAAGAAAAATAATATTATAAAGCACTTATGGAGTAAAATTTGGGGGAAAGATTATTCTAATAAATACCAAAATAAACATTAACTTGAATAAAGTTTGTTTTTCTGAACAGAGAAGTGGTCTGCTGAAAAAAATAAGGTAAAATCATTTTAATATTAGATACTGGTTTTTTTTCTCCTGGTATAATCAGGAATCCTTTTGTGTGTCTAAATGAACCACATACCAAGGACACAAGTTGTTTGGATTATACAATAACATGGAACGCAAGACCACTCATATAATAGCACACTTCCTTTTTCTACCAAGGAAAGAAAATAATACCACTTTCTGTACGTCTTTTAAACCAGAAAATGAAATACTGTAAGAACTCAAACACGCCTCCACAGGTGGTCCTTCATGGGCCCAGCACCACTGGCGGAGGAAGAGCGTGACAGGGGAAGGATCTTACCTTTGCTTTTTCCAACTGGGCCTGGGCCTGCCGCTCTGCTTCTCTGCGCACCGCCTCTCGGTCTTCCTCCAAAGACACATCGGAATCAGATGGACGGCTGGTGTAGGAGTCTGCCGAACCCTGGAAAGGGAAGTTTACGTTTTAAAACAGATCCCATCCATGACGTTTGTGTTGGGAATGTTTCATTGACACTACAGTTAGCTTCCTAGATTTTGCCACACGTTCCTGAAGAGAGGAGACAAGAATCCACCTCCTGGCACACCATCTAGAAAAAAAGATCATTCTGTGGTCTGCAGACCATTCACCAGGGTAGCTGTGCCTACCAAGTTACCATTCCTTCCCCAGCTTTCTGTTCCAATTAATGTTCCTCCTGGAAAACAGAACAAGTTCCTTCACGGTCACACCAGCTCCGTGGTGCAGTGCAGAGCTGAAGGGCACAGATGGGTTTCAAGGATAGCTTCAAGAACAATCTGCACGTAGAGCAAGCAGTCACCCCCAAAAAGAAGGCACTCTCATAAAACACATCCCCGAAAGGTAAAGGACTTATGAACCCGGACTCTCCCATACTCCACTTTCATCTTAAGCATCCTTTTGCACCTTTGTATTCATTCACCTGATACCCCCTCTGACAAAACTGTAAAACAACAGCAGTCGGCTCCATACAATCTTTAAGCAGCACATTAAAAAACAAAAACAAAAAAAAACAAAAACAAAAAAAACCACACACACACAAAAAAAACAAACATACAAAAAAACAAACACCTTTAAATAGATATTAACAAAACCTCTCTGAAGAAAACACCTGCCGGGGATTTATCTCCGTTGGCCAATAAACCATGACACAGGAAAAGGAGCTCAGAAAATGACAGGACTTTGCTTGGCTCCCGCTCTTGCAATCAGGATCATATTACTAAATAAAAGGAGCCCGTGCCAGCACTCACTCCAACACCAGCAAAAGCAAAAGCGAGCCCTGAAGCTTACACAGATGTCCGAGTTCTTCAGCCTTCCTCCCTTGGCTCTTTTCAGAAGCCGGATCCAGGTGGCCTTCATGAGCCAGACCGCGCCTTGCCCCTCCGCAGCGGCAGCCCCGGGCACCGGTCCTCCGCGCGCGCCGAGCCCTGCGGAGCAGCCTCCGCGCCGGCCCCAGCCATGCTCCGGCCGAGCCCCGTCTCAGCCCCTCTCTGCCTCCGGGCTTTCACTCCCTGCCCCGGAGGACGACTCCGGTCCGAGGGGATGCGTATTCTCCCATTCCAGATGGGAAACAAACACTGGAACGCTGTAGGCTGCTTTAAAAATGAAGAACACCTCAAGTGCGTTCCAAGGCAGGCACCAACTCGTTCTTAAACTTAATGCATCTTCCTACCCAGAAGAGTCTCTTCCTGCTCCTAGATTGCTAAAGGAAGCTGGTTGCAAGAGAACCTTAAAAAAAGAAAGAAAGAAAGAAAAAAGAACCCACACACCTAGTGCAAAACGTATGCAGTGACATTTGCAAGTGCAAAGTTCAAGCCTTATCTTCAGAGATCTGGAGGGGGAAGGCGGGCAAGGCACTCACCGCACTGGGCATGCTCCATAGGTAGCCTTTCCAGGCGGATGCTCACACCACCCGCCCTCTCTGTTCCTCTATGTCCAATTGCCATTTGCATCTGAAGTGTAAACAGCTGGAGAGGGTTCTGGTTCTATAGTAACAGGCACAAGGTCTGTTTGTCATGTTTATGTTTCCGATAAAGCATTCTCTCAAAAAGACAGCATGTGATCTTTTCCTTTAAGGATCCCTTTCCACTAACCTGCTTACAGAAAGTCCGTCCTATGCACAAGACAATGCAGAGATAATAGTATATACAATATTGGGCAGCAAAAATCAAATAATGCTCAACAACTGTAATAGCATACTGCTCTTGCTTGCTTGTGACTTCCCAAGCAAGATGCAAGAGAGAAGTTTGCTCAGTTAATTAGGATATGAGAGTAATCACAGCTCCAAGCCATGAGTTTCACCTAGCTCAAAATGACTTTGAAATGCTTCTCCAACTGAGAAACTAACGCTTGAAATAAAGTCACTGGAATACATAACTGCGTGAATTGTTATAACAATAATTATGAAGAAGATTCAAAGCTTGGTTGGTTTATTAGTTTGAGTTAGGAGTCATGAAACAGTTTAGTCCAAATTATTTTTTATAAATAAGACAACTGAGGTTTGAGAAGGAAATATATTTAAGTTTTTAATATCCTGTTGTAGTGGAATTACATTTTTAAAGTTTATTTATGAAGACATACACATTTTCAGGTTTCTTAAAGTAAACAAAATTCTATCATTGCCTTCTAAGCTGCATTTTTTTTTAAGAGAGTTACTTGGTAAAGTTTTATGTAAATGAAAGAAAATCATTCTTAAGAATTTATCCCCATTCCTCCCTTTCTTTCTTCTTTTATCCTTTCAATTCTGGGCTAAGACCAGTTTTCAGGACATCAATGTTAGGAAATAGTTTTAGAACAAAAGTAATAGATTGAATGCACCTTAATTTCAGTATAATTACATAAATTGATATTAAAAAGATATATTATTAACAAGTGAATGTAAAATGCATGGAAGATACAAAGTTGATTCCAATTTTTTGTTTAAGTAAAATTCTCAAGGGACATATGAGTCTTTCTACACAGACACACATGCTAAGGGGCTCCCCATTTTCCCAGATCATTCCCTATACTGTAGTGGTCAGCAAACTCATTAGTCAACAGAGCCAGATATCAACAGTACAACCATTGAAATTTCTTTTGAGGGCTGAAAACCGACTTCTGCACATGGGCCACGAAGTTTCAATTGCACTGATCATGTGCACTCACATGTGGTATTTTGTGGAAGAGTCACACTCAAGGGGCCAAAAGCCGCATGTAGTTCACAAGCCGCAGTTTGCCGACCTCTGCCCTACAGTATGGGTAGCACAGTAGAAAATTACCAAGAAGCACAATTATGCCCCATAAAGGGCCGCAGACTGGCATTTTAGACCCAATCACCTGCCAAAAGCTCAGGTCACACCTCCTGGAGGACACACAATTTCTGTCATAAAGAAACCCCTAAGGACAGGAAGAGGATTAACACACACAATGCATGCGATCTTTCCCTTTTAAACAAAATAAGATTTTAAAAGTCCTTTGCTAATAACCAGGTGTAGCTTTTAATTGCACAGTCATTTTGAGACCTGTTTCCAAGCTTAAACAGCTAAGCGGTTTACAACGAAACAAAACAAAACCCTCTCCATCAGCTAAGCGGTTTACAACGAAACAAAACAAAACCCTCTCCATCGACGTTGGCAATTATCTTTTGAATATTGGCGACACTGTATTAACCTTTAACGATTTTACGATATGAAATACGACCATGAACTGTAGCTTATAAACCTTTTAAGTGGAGCGTATAGAAGTCACATTATTTTCACACCTTGTACCTGTAATAGTCTATACTTTAAACATATTTTTCATTATAGAAGTTACAAATCCCATTGTAAAAAGAGGAAGGCATAAATGAGGTCACCTTATGTATCTTCTCACCTAAGAGAGCCGCTATTAAATGGTAGCACTGGGAGCCTCCAGAGTTCCTGCGATTTTGAAAGTCACCCTCCCAACGTGTGCATTACAATTAATCTCCTTCCTTCTGGGAGCATGGCTACATGCAGTTAAAGGTGATATATCTAATTAAGCTTTGCCTTTGGTACCATATGGACTTTCTGGGTCATTCTGCCTCACGTTGTCTTTAGTCAAGAACAGCTGGCAATCATTTCCATTAACTCCAGAGCAGGTTCATTACAAGATGTACCCTTGATCTCTTCCATGTTCTGGCCTTTTGTGGTATTTGTCCTTTCAGGTACATCACATGTTCAGCTACCCACACTTCCTTTTCTGCATCTTAATGTTCTTATTCCTCACTGTATCATCCCAAAATACAACTAGCACCTAATGTCTACCAATAATTCATTCCGAATCTTCTATTTTTATCTTGAGAACTCTCACTCCAAATGTGTGTTCTTTGCTTTTAGGAAATGTTATTTTAATGGGATTAAATTATACTTTTAGGTACTCTTCAACTTCTGTTTTTTTCCGCTTTAAACTCTTTTATGTCAAGTATTGGCACAAAAATTATCACCTTTTCCCTTAAGCATTTTTGTTTTGGAATTTATAACTTGCTTTTTTGATGTTGTACTCTTCCATTTAACAGTCATATATTTCCAGCATCAGTTATCTTCAGTGTGCTCTTGTTTTATCTTTTAAAGCCAAAAAGATGAGAGTTATACACCTATTCAGGATATTTTTGATCCCAAATTGTTCATCTATTTCTGTGCAAAATTTTCAAGTGAAGTCTAAAACAAGGCTCTTAGGCAAAATCAATTTCTAAGAGTATCTAAGTCACCAAATTCTAGACAAAGCTATGTCCAACCAAAATATGTTAGGCTTCAAACGACCTCCTAACCCAATGGCAAATCTGACTTGTTTCTTCCTGACCTGCCATGGGATAGACAGACATCCACGGCCATTCTGGTCAGACCCACATTTTTAAAGTAAAGCAATATGGGATAGACTTCTGCAAACAAGGACTGAGGGGAAAGGGTCTGTCTCTTGTATTGTCTGCTTGCAATGGCAGATAATTCTTTCATTTCTCCTACTGTCATCTCTTTCCACACTTCAAAGTAATTAACTTTTTTTTTTTCAGTGAGGAGATTTGGATCTCTCTAAGAAAATGAATTGCTCTTCATGCTTTGTTGGTTTCTTCAGAAACAAAACCACACACTTTCAGGTTGTATGAGCCCCCTATAAATGTTGGAGATTAAACCCTTATCAGAAATAACATTGGCAAATATGTTCTCCCATGCAATGGGCTTTCTTGTTGTTTTGTTGATGGTTTCTTTTGCTGCGCAGAAGCTTTTTATTTTGGTGTAGTCCAGTAGTTTATTTTCTCTTTAGTTTCCATTGCCCTAAGAGCAGTATAAACAATCCAATAAAAAAATGTGTAAGGGACCTAAACAGATTCTTTTTGAAAGAGGACATATAGAAGTCCAAGAGACATATGAAAACATGCTCTAAGTCATTAATCATCCAAGACATGCTTTTTCAAAACAACAATGAGGTACTATCTC